GACTTATAAGGTAGGCATCGTCATCGGCTTTAGTTATTGTGGACAAGGAGTCGCTTTGACTTTCAATTTTACCCTTCTCGTCTTCTTTGTGTAGCTGCTTTTAAAGCGTCCATATACGTCGTAACACTCTTTTAAATTACTGCTCTCAGATGATTGATGGATCTCACGCACTTTCGGTTTGGATCGGATTACGTATAGTTAGGGGGATGATACTCTGTAGGGAGGGTAAATAGGGGTTCACACCCTAGTGGTCCTACCCTACAGAATATGTTATCCTTAGTCGTGCACAATCATGAAGTTTGCACCTGGATGTTTCTGTCGAGACGACACGTATGGGACTTTGCATGTGCACAGAGCACTTATTTAAGTCGAAGGAATGTAATGAGTGAATAGGTGCTACATCGTTGGATGCAAAGACAGGAGTTATTGGACATTTCTCCGACTAGATCGATAAGATTCTTCCTGCGAAAGTGTAATTATCCCTATAAACCTGCCAAGCCATCTACATTCTCTGTGGCATTAGGATCAGCACTTCTTCCGCCACCTATATTTATGTTCATTACACACCTCTGAGCGCAGTAATATACACTTTGCCCAAACGGGAATCAGTCCTTACACTAGCAGTAATGTGGTGTCGAATCTGACTCTGGATGACATTTCACATGGAGTGATGTTTTGGATTACATGGTAGTATGCGAGTGTATATTAATATTTCCAAATAATTTTACGCTTAACGTTTCAATAAAACGTAGAAAATTGAACGCTGAAAAACGAACGTTTATGTGATAAACATATGTTTATGTAAATTATAATTATATTTTCAACACAAAAGTGCTATTGGTACCTAGCCTATCCATGTATGGCTTGATAAGAGTTCTAATCTCTTCGCTTTTTACAAGCTACTATCTTCTTAAAATGCTATTCAAGTTTGCACCTTGTGAGTTCACATTAAAACTCAGAGTTATGTACTTGATGGGACCCACCGAACCTAAATTGCTGATTGGGACCTTTAAGTTTCATTTTATTCTTTGGAACCCCACTAACAATACATGCCATGCATATTCTAATATCAAAAGACGGTGTAGACATTAGAATTGTAAAGTGAGACTTTTCTCGTTATCCAGACTTCACAATTGCATCAAAATATGTAAAATTACCTAACATTCGAATTCACAAGTCCTCCGCTTCCATCCCTACGTACTTCCTCCACAAATTTCACACTTCTGTTGTTGTTCACCGAGTCCAATTTTTGACAATTCAAAACCCAAGACCTCTCCACTTCACTCCCTGTGAGATTTCACAAGATTTCACAAGACTTGTGAAATCTCACAAGTCTGCTGTTGGTCACGGGTTGAATTTTTCAGACCTCAAAACCCACACGTTTGCTGTTTGCTCACCAAGTTGAATTTTTGACAATCCAAACCCCAAAACCTCTTTGCACTTGTGACAATGTTTGTCACAACTCATGGATTTGGGATCCCATAATTCCACTAAAATTTGCATTAAATGTATACAAAAATACATTTTAGAACTTTGAGACTTCGTAATGAAATGAAACTTTACACATCGAAACAAATATTTACAAATCACATCAAAAATTTAATTTACCATCTAATAAATACCTCGTAGAACCAATTATCTTTTCTAGCAAAATCAAGGCTTGGGACATGATTGAACTTGTATTTAGATAGCTTTTATAATCTGTAGTAAATTTAATAAAATGTAGGGTGTTGATGACTACCCATCTCTCGTATGGGGGATTCATAGAACATATAATCCGTACTGTACTCTGATATTAAACTTTGAAGCAGAGTTGGAGAACGATTTCGGGACTCAGGGTTCCTACTGAGCATTAACTTCATACGTCGTTTCTATTTAGGATTCCGACAGACCGATCTTTTTGACATCATCTTAAAGTTTTCCCTTTGGTATGTTAGTGTACATGTAGACGTCATGATGTGGCCAAAAATTTTTAAAGCTGTGTTCCTATTACTTTATTTACTTTGTTACTACCCATAGAGATTAATAAGAAACTTGTCTATAGCACATTTGTTTTGGCTTATATGAATGCGACAGAAACATTGTGAAACTACGAAGACGTTCAAGCCCGAGAAACCACTATGCACTTTGTGGGGCACATCACACTCGATTCAGCTCCATGCATCCATGAGTGAGGATGAGAGAGAAGAGAAGAAACCTGGGCACAGGCTAAACGAGGGGGCATCCTACTGGAGTACACTCCAAGTACTCCAGCCGTGTCGTCCTGTGGGTCTACTAGACGGAGACCTGTTGCGACTGATTATTATACATTGAGTATAATGATCAGCATGGGTATCTGCATATTCAATCAATATCTGCAGATAGGGTAGCCAAGCGGAGTCAAAGGGGGCAAGTGAGAGAGGAGAGTAGGTTAGTATGCCCGGATCACCATCTGTTGCAGAATTTTTGTTTTCTAAAACATGTAGGACATAATATTCTTATTTTTTGTTTTTATTTGGAGTCCTAGATGTAACCGAATTTCAACAATACGGGTAACTTTATGGAACGCATGAATAAATCTGCTATTTTAATGTATAAGCCATTTTCCTCTACTATAATTACTTAACTGTTTTCATTGTACTAATATGTTATGCTCGAGATGTGTATTATTGTAGTCCCTCACGAGACTGATGCTGATGATGAAATTAGTACTATATATATAGAGTTTATAATATATATTCTTATAGATAAGAAGCCTGTTATTGATTTGAAAAGAGCATTTGCTAAAATATTTCATTTCGGAGCAATCACTTATCATGATGATTTTATTCTATGTAACATTTTGTATAGCTCATTTTAAACAATATGATTCTATTTTATAAAAGGTATCACTTGTAATAGCAAAACGTAAAAGATTCACATGAGATGAAATGTGTGTGTGTGTGTGTGTGTAATCAGGTTGATTATACAGCCTTCGATCTATATAATTTAAAGATCTGAAAAGAATATGATGAAGTATGATTTGGATCCTATTGTGATGCTATTTGGACCTAGCCACATGTCTCAAGATAGGTCTCATTCATGTACAAATTGATGGAATCTTTCCGTACTTTTGAATTTTTTTTTGGGTTTCTCACAAAAAAACATATCTTCCATACAAGACAATGTGACGGTTAGATGGAAGGGGATAGTTTCAATAGAAACCCTCTCTGTCTTACATGGACATACTATGTGTATGTTCAAGAAAATATCATCGTACTACTCAATAACCATACTAAGCAGTTAGCGCGATCAAGGTGAAAAACATAACAGAGCATACGTGAACAATTTTGCTTCTGCTTCTGACCAGTGAGAAAAGCACTGTTGAAATTTGTTTCACATAGATATCAGAGAGGATGTGATAAACTATATTTTGTCTAACAAAATATGATACCATCACCTCCTACCCATATTGACTACTTTTTTGTACGTAAACTCCACTTGGTTTGACTGTTATATGTTGTCAGTATTCGGAATGCAAATCTGCCCACTGCGTCCTTCTGATTCTATTTGAAATTAACAACGCACCCTATCGTGAGGAGTAGACCGCGTTTGTGGTTTGTTAGCTCTACGTGATATTATTTGGGTCGATGGGAATCGACGGACTGTCTAACGACCTTCGACAGCCGTCGATGCCCTATTCTCGAAAGATACTAAGCCTTATTGTTTATCAGAGACACCAAAAAAGCCCTTTACCGGGCCGAGCACAAATTCTTCATGTTTCACTAATTCGCACTAGCTGTTCGGAGACCAGTCGTCCTTAAATGGCCACTGTTCGTTCACTTGGAGCAGCCTCTAGTCATTTCTTGTCGTGTGTGGCATCGTGACAGCCAGTCAGGTGCACTTCTGAGCGGAATTTTTACGAGCCTTACAAGCTCAGTATATTTTATTATTATTATGATCTGTTTTTATTATGACACCGTCCCACTTGCTTCGGTGAGCTCCGTATCGCCATTTAATATTTTATCATGTGAAAAGCGTCTTTTCCTCTCATCGTTGGACATTGATATCGAAATCCTCATGGAGGGGATAAGATGCGGGAAGGCACACGACTATCATCAAGAAATAACCAAAACGTTCAAATAGTCGCCGAGACTCTTTACTTTTCTTTACTCTTTACCGATCGAGCCTTTTTGCTCAGATTTATCGTGGAAGCTTTGGTTAACGTCATGGACGGCAAAGAGAGACATTGAAAAACAATAAGTGGTCTACGGTGGAGGAAGAATCTCTCGCGAGAACTTTTGATCAATCATTCGATTGGACAAAGTGTGGCCCTCATATCTGGATCCTACTGCTGCCAGAAAGAAGATCACAGCACTAGATCTCAGGTATGAAAACAATTAGAGAAAAATGTGACATACACGCGAGAAGGGAAAAGAGCGTATTTTGAAAGAGCGATGCAATAAAGAGTCGTTTCTTCGACTCTTTCATGAGACAGTCGTACCCGGGAAAATCATAAAGAAGGGAGAATTAGTATTTTAATGAGCAACTTGAACATTCTCCAAATGAGTGCGCCCATGGATGTGGCAATGATTTTCAACCCCCCGTGCTGTACGTTCTTGCGAAATCCCTCCTGGACGGAAGGCAAGCAAAGTACACATCGAAAACGGGGCACCTACAAATGCGAAAGCAACGTCGCGGTGAGAAGCCAGGCACGCGAGGGGAGCGAAAAGCGCCCGAGCGCTGCAGCAGGTTTTGGCAAACGGCCGTGAAGGCGGGCGAGGACGAGGAGAGACGAAGAAGGCGCGGGACGGTGATGATGGCTGGAATCGCAGGTACAGTGGACTCAAAAGGCAACAAGGGCACCGAGCAGCAGCAGCAGCAGCAGCCTCAGCCTCGGAGCGCTGATGAAAGGCGCTGATGAGGCAAAGCCGAGTCAAGTCAAGGCTCGTCCGCGGGGCGGGGGCCGAAGTACGACGACCCCAGGGACGAGGTTCATCCCAAGGACGTGAGAACTTCACGTTTTCACCACCCATACGGACCTATCCGTCTGTCCCAGCGGCCCTGGGCAGGAAACGGACCCGGTGAAGACCAGCGCTGCGAGAAGTGGGTCGGTTTGGTGGAGTGTCCAGCCATTGGGAACTCGGGAATCTCTTGTGTCCTGGCCACTCCCCGCGGCCCGCGCCTCGGTCCCGCTCTCGGTCCCGGGAGCACCGTTGGCGGGCGACCTCGGGACGGAGGAGCAGGCACGCGGTGACCTTCCATAAATGGACCTCGGACCTTCCAGCGGCTCTCACCGGCGCTAGCCCGTCGGCGCCACCGGACACGCCCCGATCTCGCGCGAGGGACCGCCCGCAGCCGGTGGTGGGCTCGCGCTGCTGCCTTGGGACGGCGAGCGAATTTGGCTCGCTCTCGCTCGCGAGCGCAACGAGGAACTTGAATTCGGGTCGAATCGGGGCGCGTCCGCGGACGCCTTGTCCTTTTCCCGAAACTTTTGGGCCAATTTTGTCGTCGTCGCCAAGGGGAGCACTTTTTCCTCGCAGTGCTTTGACACGTCGGTAGGAGACTTTGGGGCCCTTTGCTCCGTCTGGATTTGAGGTGTGCATTACGCGGTGCAAGCCTGCTCGCCTGCTTGCGCTCGTCCCGTGAGTTCTTTGTCCGGTGAGGAAATTGCTTCGCTCGGCAGCAAAGCCTCCGCCTCGGAACGAAGCATGGGGATGCCGGCTTCGTCTGACATGTCTCGCCGCGCTTGCTGAAGCACGCCCGGCCTGCAGAATCACAGGCCCCGGGCCTTTCGTGCCATCGTTGCCAATGCCGGCGAAGAGTCGAGGAGAAGGTGCGGCCGTCTCGATAGATTAGACCCGATTATATTCTTCTCGCAGATATTCCGGCTTTGGTCTCGGTTGCAGTGCCCACAAGCTCGGGTACCTGGTCGCTCATGAAGGATCGTTCGCGCTGGTGACCACCCGAAAGAATCCCAATGCCTCGGTGACCTCCAGGACATGGAGCTCGCTGAGGAATTCCTCGTGGTTCCGCTGTATATAAGGCTGGGGCTTCTACGTGCCATGTTTTGGACCAGGTTGTAGCGAACAGGTGAGGCAGAACTCTGGAAGTGATCGCTTCTCGGAAGCGCGTCGTACTCAACATATTTTCGTTCTGATAAGAGTTCCCTTTGGTAGAGTTTACAGACGCGGAAGGAAGTGCGAGCGGCTGCTGTGCCTGGAATCTGGATGATGCTGGGAAATTGGGGAACCAGACATATATAGGTGCAGGCGCTCGTATGGATACCAGTCTCTTCCAGTGCATGCACTGGTACCTTTGGTGGTCTGATTGCGTGCCAATTATGAAAGGTAGACTGGTATAACGTAGGAACAGGTGGAGGGGATAGTTTATAGACTTTGGAGGACAGGTCTTATCAAAAATGTTATGCAACTCGGACGATGAAGAGCGCCATAGATGGCGCCGCGGTTGCAGATCGTTGAGCCATTTGAAGGGGCTGAAGCGGACTTTTCCGTCCTGGAAGGAGATTAGGCAAAGTCCCCGTAGAGCTGTGGCCGCCCAGTTGGTGTGCACCGCCATAGGATTCTTAACTGCAGTTGGCGTGGGACTCGTTTTATTTCACAATTCTCTTCAAACACAGCGGCAAGAATTCAAGCTGAAATGCAGCAATCGGCAGGAGGTGCGTTTTCCTGGACATACAGTGGTTCAAAGCTGTAGAATCATGATTGCACTAGCTTTATGGATGGAAAGGCGGCTGCGTGAGTTCTTCCTCGGTGGCAACCGGGACCTGCATGCTTCGATTTGTGTGTGCTTTGATCTGCGTGGCAACTAGTCATACTCAAGATCATCTTTCATCATCCGCCAGTCAAGAAGTGATAACAGGCGAGGTTTCAGATCCTTCTCTGAAAGCCGTGCGTCTGGAACTTCTGTAGAATGTCAGCAGCGAAGACGGCCGGACCGCTTCTTTTTATTTTGCGAATAGTCTATCTTGTTGAATTGAAGTATATGCCTGTCAGCATATGAAGTCCAGCGGAGATGATGTTGCGGATTTTTGCTTGGCATGAACGGACAGACACATTGAAGAAGTTTCGCAGTCTTGAATTTTGAAAATCTGATTCGAGAGCAAACATGAGTGAATCTTCTGAGCCACCATCTGCACTGGATTTCGTATCTGTCTATTGGAATCATAAGCGAATTATGATGTAATTGGAAGGATTGTACGCGATTGACGTGGAAGATTATCTAGTGACGGCGGCGCAAGTGCAACGTAGGCAAAGGCCTGATTCGTGTATTTTGTAGTCGGATAGCCTGTGTGATAATGTCCGTTATTGCCCGCCGTATTGTTCACGATTTGTGGATATGTTCGCTTCGGACTGAAATTGATCGCGTTGATGTACCGCGATTGCCCGCGTAGAAGGGCAGCACTGAATCTTGCGACGGGACTCAATAGATTTCCTATATGCCTCGTGTCTTACCAAAGTATCTTCGGTTTTGTTTCCCAGCGTCGTCAATTGTAGATTCGTTCTTGCCAACTTCTGTGATGCTCTGATTAAGACATTCAGCCTGAAGTAGCCGTGGGCTAGCGGGTTCTTGTTTGTGAGATATTGGAGCGTGGATTTTGCGTGCCGTGGTAACAGAGATGGTCAGAATTTTATAGTCACGGATCGTTAACCAGAATCTGTATTATTCAGGCCTGCGTTGGTTTTATAGCTCTAAGTCTCCATGAGGTTATGGTCTTGAAGACATTATCAGACTTTATATCTCCTACTCTACATGTAATTCGTCTCTGGTCGCTCATCGCGTCCATCGGACGGGTCTGCACGGTGAAGATGGCGTGCATTTACAGGAGGAAGGAGGTCGCTCCTGAATTGTTGAAATATAAAAGCAGCTGTAGGCTCTACATGAAATAAATATTCTGGTGACGCTTGTTTTGTACTTTGACGCCAGGCTCTATGTGCAGCCAACGTCTTTCCTAGTACATCATTCGTTTTTAACAATGACGTATTGCAATAGAGATTCTTCACGTAGATATTTCTGCGGTGCTAAAACATTTTATCTTCTATTATTTCTATTAAAATACTTTTGACATCTTTGCATCGGAAATTGTTGCCTTTTTTCACGTTTTAGGTTGACATACAAAAAGTTCCTGCTTTCTGAACTGAATTATTCCGTATGTTTTCTTAGTGATACTACCCTTGATATGTTAAGATCCAATACTGCCCTGTACATTCGTTTTGAACTGTGCAACTTTTCTGCCGAAACATACAGCCAGAACAAATCACTTAGTCTTGTTGGGAATGTTATGTTTTCAAATGGATTTAGTTCTGTATATCTTGAAAAGTCAATACTCATGATTTACTCTTTCATGTTTATGATGTTTCTTTCAGATACTTATGGGAGAGGTAGCCAACAATCTAAACACGTCCTTCATGATACTGGGGCTGCTGGCAAGTGAACCCGATCTGACTCAGGAAGCGTGGTTAGCATTTACTAATGAAACAGACTTTCTTAGACCAAGCACCCCTAGGGTGAGCTACATTGAACTTATAACTGATAAAGAGAGAGCTGGGTTTGAGCTGGAATGGAACTCCTCGCTTTTGATGATAGATGAGAAGCAAGAAGCAATTCCTATCAATTACACGGCCAAGGAGTATGCACCCATCATCTATGCTTCACAGACGGTGTTGTACGCTTTGCTGGTGGACGTCAGGTCATTTCGTGCAATCAACCATACTTTGAACAATGCGAGAAATTCTGGGGCAATCGCTATGTCACCACCAGATCAGTACGGGACGATTTGGAGAGTCGGAACCTACTTACCTTATTTTGGGAACAAGACACCAACAACGGTCGAGGAGCGGATAGAGATGTGCATTGGGTGGGTTGGTGTATCGCTGGATGTTGAGAAGGTTTTTGGTACAGTCCTCTCAAGATATCAGGATGATGAAGACATGGATGCTGCTGTTGTATATCTCCCACAAAGCCGGGACGATTGGCTTCCTAGTCTCAACTGTGTCCCCTCAGCATCTACTTGCGAATTGCCTGTCTATGACCCACAGTCAAGATTTGGTCAAGAAAGCACAGCAACAATCGCATGGACCTATGCTTTTCAAAACTTTGAACTTAGATGCTTTGCGACGAAGAGCATCAGGTTGAACGCACTGAGGAACGTTATAGCTTGGCCCATTCTCATGATGATTGTTGTTCTACTCTGCTCCGTGATTGTTTACCTTGCAATCAAGAAAATGCAAGCAATAGAGAAGCACATGTTCCAAGTGGAGAAGATGAATTTTGACTTAAGGGCAGCGAAACAAGCTGCTGAGTCAGCGGACAAAGCGAAGTCTCGATTTCTGGCAACTGTTTCTCATGAAATAAGGTCAGAAAGTCATTTACTCGCCCTGATTATGCAACTGAGGTCTTTTGCGATGCTTTTAGTGTGTTTGGAAAAACTACCCATCTAGTTTTCGTCATGGGTCATTTTATCATTCATGGGCCATTTTCTTTTCTAGACAAACAAAAAGGATTTGCTTTGACTGAATAAGTCAAGCAGTGCGCAGGCTACTCAAATTGAAGATAAGCATCATTAATCTAAGAGACGAGACATATTTCCTGAGTTGGAGTGCCTATTTCAGATCTGCTAATTAATAATATTCAGTGTAATTTCGAAGGTTATAACTTCTATTAGAGGATCGAAAGTTGTGACTCTATCCCAGATGAAGTACCGTTACTTCCGTGGCTCCGTATATAGTTTTATTGGGTCTTTCACCTATTTGATGATTATGATAACCTCTGTAATATGCAACTAATTTTCTGTTACAACCCACCATGTTATGTTGCAGAACACCAATGAATGGAGTGATTGGTGAGTTTCTGACTTTACCAAAGTTCTTGCATTACGAGGTTGACTTGACATTTTAGAAACGTGTCATCTAGTGTATACAGAATAATTAGCACTGAACTCTGGCTTTTCAAACATCTGTTATCCTAACAGCTCACAGCGAACTAACTATTCAGCTGATTACCCATTTGGATGCAGGGATGACGAACTTGCTTATGGGTACAGAACTGAGTGCACAACAGCATGAGTATGTTAAGATAGCCCAAGCAAGTGGCAATAATCTTGTGTAAGTAATTCCATGTGTCATAGTATTCCTGTTTGTCTGAAGCATTTTCACTTTTTTGTTTCAAATGATAGATTTAGTCGGGAAGGCCTGACGGTTGGTGTCACATGGGGGTGCCAATGAATATGTCTTATAAATGGATCAATTGTTATGTTTGGTAAGTCTTTGTTTGTCATAGAATATTTGTCCTAAACCTTCTGTGCCATTCTTTTGCAGTTCTTTGATCAATGAAGTTCTTGACCTTTCGAAAATTGAGGCTGGGAAGATGGAGTTGGAGTCAGTTCCTTTCGATCTTCGTGTAGAACTCGATGACTTGCTGTGTCTTTTCGAAGATAAAGTGAATGAAAAGAAACTCGAAGTTTCTGCCCTAGTACACGATAGTGTACCTAGATGTGTATATGGGGACCCTGGAAGACTTCGTCAGGTACGAAGTCCATCTTGTTGTCATAATTATAGCATGGTTACTTGGAACTTCTCTGTGAGAATCTGGTTGCTTCGATCGAACCCTACCGATACGCAAAGTCTTCATACTTATCAACAAATTGATAGTCGAGTTTGATTCTTGACAGTTATTATGGATCGAGTCAGTCCAACTGCCGTAATCTTCACTTGGTAGTCGCGTGGATTTTGCGCCGCTTGCAGCTCGTGGCCGAAGTAGTAAAGATCAATCTGTTCCATTGTATCTGAGCTCAAACTGATAAGTGTCAGTCTGTCACATCATATTGCAGGTTCTCATCAATCTTGTTGGAAACTCCATGAAGGTAATACTTACATATACAATATAGCTGTGTGAATTATCAGGTTCTTTTATTGTAACGTTATCTGAAAGTTTGTGATGATTATGGTATCTGTTCAAATGAACTCAGATTGCACAGATTGCAACTCTCCGTTGTGGATTCTGCCTAAATGCTTTAATATCGTTTACCACACCTGATCAACCAGTTAAATGGGTAAATTTGATCAATTTTGATGATTCCTTTTTGTTTTTGTTGAACCGTTGTGCAGTTCACAAAGCATGGTAGCATTTTTGTTTGCGTTCGTATTTATAACCCTCAAGAGGATACATTTAGTTCGATGTTAACATCATCACTTTCGTCTTCGCCTGCAAGCGAGGGTAGCCACAGAGGCAAGCGGCAATATGATGTTTCAAAGCTAGTTAAAATAGTAGAGAGTCGAGAATGGTCTGCTTCTGATATTAGGTTAGAAGGAGTAGGGGTAGTGGAAGCTATGGCACCCAGATTGAGCATGCAAGAAGGTCCACTAAACACGGAGGAAGCAGTTAAGAAATGGAGAAACTGGGTGCCAAAGGCAGGGGTAGAAGGCGAAGATTCGGTTGAAGGCTCCAAAACTTTATCACTGGTCATTTCTGTGGAGGACACAGGTAAATGCCTTGAAATGCCGATCCTTGGTTTCTGACAAATCATGACATGATTCGTATGTTCAGACTCTCTGCTGGGTTTCCAGAAAGCCATCAATGCATACAGTTGTTGTTTTGGTTAGGGTTATTACTTCCTGAAACTTGGTGCAATATCAACTTTCCCTAAACTGGCGACGTTTGCAGGTATTGGCGTTCCTTCTCATCTTCAGCATCGGCTGTTCCAGCCATTTCTTCAAGCGGATAGCAGCACATCTCGGGAGTTTGGTGGTACGGGCATTGGATTATCCATTTCCAAGGTAACATTCTCGGGGGAAATCTTGAAGAACCGGTAGAACGAATATTTTTTAACCACAAAGTTCCTCAGTTGTCCACGATCCTGTCGCTTAAGAATGATGCGAGCAATACTGAGCATTTTATTATTCTAGTATTTTATTTATCTATCTGTTTATAAATTTAATATTTTTGTAAAATTACCAAAGTAATATCCTCCCTCAGTATCCTCTAGGTTCCATCATAATACTTCATGCTTCTGATCGCTTCTGATCGCTGCCGCCGTTATCCCTTGAGTGACTCAACGCCATTCGTCCTGCAAGATTGAGATGCCACTTTTTTTTCCGCACCGTTTCTGCTGCTTTTTATAAAGTGTGGCTCTATCGGTTTACACTTCCAGCTTCTATCGCGCATGTTTCGGTAGCGTGTTGTTTGTGGACTTGGATTCAATTGGATGCTCTTGGTTACAGCTTCATTTACGTGAGTTCATGCCTCTTGCTTTTGCATTCACTCTATTTATTGTGGGACCTGCAGCTCTCATCACCACTTCAGTTTACTGCCAAACTCTATAAATGTCAGTTGTAGATCCAAAGGCCCGTACAGAGTACTTGTACTCGATCTTGCCACATTAATAATAAATCTATGTATTATATTAGTGAATTATTGTCGAAGTATATAACTTTACAACAGTCACGTTCTATACTTCGCTTCATGATCAGAGGTGAAAGTTTTCCACCTTTCCCGTGTTTGAATTTGAAAATGTATTTTATGTATCGATTACTTACCATTTCATGGAGCATATTCGCCGGCTTGTGCCATGTGCTGACAGGAACAAATAAATCAAGAGAAGAGACTGACACCGGTTGTTGGGTCATTGCAGAAATTGGTGGAACTAATGGGAGGGAAGCTTGACGTAATCAGTGCACCAGATGAAGGTAGCATATTTGAATTTACATTTAAGGTAGGTAAGGAACGCGATGTTGCAGACAAGGATGTAAAGCGTGAATGTGAAGGTTACGGAGAAGAAAACTTGAAAGGGAGAAGAGTGCTCCTCGTCGACCAGCATTTTGTTAGGCAGGTGTGTGTCGACCTGACGTAGAGCTGTGGTCTCTCTTCTTTCATTTATTGTGTCATTAGTATATTTTGCTATTTGTAAGCGTGTCTTTTATTTAATTTTTTGGCAATCTAGTAAATTCTTCAGAATTGAAAGATCGGAAAATAGATGTAAAATGTTTATCAATCAATTACTACATAACGAATTGGCAAGAGCTAAAGGGTATCTGGATTATCGATAGAACTCATCTTGTTGTCGATCTTTGATTGCAGTTGGAACGTTGTCGTTAGTGCTTCAGTTCTCTTTGCGAGAGGAACGTAGACTCATTTTGATCGATTGTATCGATGTTCAAATCCTCATTTTTTGGAAATCTGCTTCGTTTTTTTCGCGACTTCAGGGCTAACTCTCTCCTCGTGTCGGTTGTAGGAGGTTGCTGCAAGTTATTTACGAAGGTTAGGTGTAATAGTGGAAGGTGTCAGCAAAAGGCAAACAGCTCTGACTTCCCTGTTAGAGTAAGTTCAATTCTCTTAGGTTCCTTTCAGTTGAACTCTGGTCTAATAAAGCGCAAAAAATCAACTGTTGCCAAAGTTCTGCTCTAAAACAAGGCCATGGTTGAACACGCGTGGGTATTAATCGATCGTCATTTGTTTACAAATCCAGAAGCGATAGACCTCAGATTCACGCAGTCATACTGGATCTGCAAGGAATGGGAATGGATGAGGCCGTTCAACTGGTAAAATTAATGCGCAAGGAACAGCACCTGATGTCTATCCCTGTATTAGCACTTTCATGTCCTTTAACCACCCCTTTGGAAAAGAAGGAGTTATATGAGGCGGGTTTTTCACAAACTGTTTTCAAACCTATACGCCGCACGACGCTAGCTACTGGGTTACTGCAAGCAGTGGGAATCTCTTTGCGACCACCAACGAAGACCGTGAATACAAATGCAAACATGTTGGCAGGGAAGAGGCTGTTAGTGGTAAGTTTGTCCGTCTTTTTGATTGGTTCACGGCTGCTTGTCGTTCACTGTTTAATTTTATGGTTTACGCGCCGAGACGATATTTTTTGAGTCCAGAGAGATTTATCGACGTAATAGTATGAGCACGTCTTTTTTTGTTCACAAGAAGAAATTTACATGCAAGGACTGATCTCTAGTTTTCCACTATGATATGCCTGACCAGGTGGATGACAACTTGATCAACCGTAAGGTTGCACGCTCAATGTTGGCCCGTTATGGCGCAACTGTGGAGTGCGTGAATGGGGGAGTAGAGGCGATTGAGGCCATAAAGAACAAAGCTGCGAACTTGCAATTTGATTTAATTTTGATGGATATTCAGATGCCTGAGGTAAATATCACATTGGCCTGTGGATTCTTCTTGAAAGTGAATGATAAATTACATGTCAAAAGTAGCACTCTATCCCAATTGTTTACATGGCTAAAGTTGTGGGAGTTTCTACCTTTCTGTCAATAATTACCAATTGTTTGCTTCTCTTTCTGCAGGTGGATGGTTGTGAAGCTACCAGAAGAATCCGTCGTTGGGAGATTGAGAATTGCAGTTTCTGCCGAGCATCTGAAAGCAAAAAATGGGAGCAACAAGCACCTCCTGGTGTTTTACAACAGTGTCCACACAGCAGAATACCAGTCGTAGCAGTCACTGCTGATGTTATGCAGGGCACTCATGAGATGTGCTTCGGCTCGGGCATGGATGATTACATGCCTAAGGTACTTACCTCTACTTTTCTTAACGATTTGGTTGGAATTTGATACGTGGTCAGAATGGAAGTACATGTTATCTTGACATCTGATTGGAAACTTCATGCACTGTGTGCAAATAGGCTAATCATTACAAGTTCATTATGTTTAATCTGGTTATGAATATATTTACAGAGTGTAACATTAGATGTGCTGGGCGTTTGCAGCCTCTCGATCAAAAAGTACTGCACCAGCTGTTGGTAAGGTTTTTACAAAACGACTTCATCAACCAGACAGGTAGAGACCGTAGAGCTCCAAGATACATCAACCAAATTTGAGTGTCATAGCTCTCGGTTCTGTGCAATGTAAAAGTCGCAAGGTGGCAGAATTCTTTGCTGTGCAGATACATTTCTTATCACTCAGCCGCTTGTCATCTGGTGCTTCGCTTTGTGCAATGAAGAATCAAGTCGAGTTTCAGAATCTGAGGAGACATGAGGGTTACACCACAGTTACTAGTCAGTATCACGGTATTGTGGGATGTTCTACACTAGGGCCAGGAGTCTCCTTCGGGGACGCACCGACTGATTCATGGAAGGTTGTTCTGGTTGTTGAGTAGGTCAATCAAGAAGAAGAAGTAAGACATTGGAAAGGGAATCTGTGGCACAATGAGCAGGTCAACCACAAGGTCACCACTAGAATCAAGGATGCATAGTTCCGTCATTTCCTTGCAACAAGCCACATATGGGGAAGAGAACACTTGTGCATGTTTAGCAGTGCGCTTTTCTCAGTTTGCTGATTCATCAACATGAAAAACAAAGCTAACGTCTGCAAGGACGCAGATCGTTTTTGCGATTGTGACTTGGTCCTAATCCATCCCTGGAGAACAAAAATTCGTTTGTGGCTTTCGGGTTTGAGTGTAGACCCTTTTTGTCACGAACAAACGAAAGTAGTCAGTTCGCGAATCCATCTATCTCCCACGACAGATGTGTAGAGTTCATTAGTGTGTTCTATGAAAGGGATGAGACCTATCACACTGCCCACATTGGGCAAAGCTTTTACATAGCTACAATTGTCTAGACCTGCTTCTAAAAGTGGTCGTGGTCACGTAAAACTTAGATTCATGTTCCTCGTTATGAGAAGGCTCAACACTGAAAATCACTGGAGGAGTGAAAACGAGATTTGTAATTTGCGACGTCCCTGTACAGCATTCATGTAATGAAGAATTATCACCCATGTTCTTGTTTTTGGATGGCAATGCTTCAAGGTTCATATTTTAACACTATTTGGTTTTGTGGGTCTGTATAATATGATTCAAAATCAACTGTTTATTAGCGTTCTTGTCCTGACAAATGGAAAGTGGTATTATCTACTCTAGATATGTCAATGTCCAGTTGAATTGCTCCACTTAAGTGCGGCCATATGTGCAGCACTGGTGAGAGATGCCCGTAAAGGACATAGACTACCCGTGTCAAAACTGCTGGAACCTCTTGCAGAAACATTTGGGTCTTGTTATAAATCGGTGCTCTTGTATAGAGCTTAAGGTCTTCGCATCACTGCTTGGAGAAAATTACTTGATTTTGGATATACTCAGATGAATCACTACACCTACTGTCTGAAATTTATTTATCATGTACTCAGTGTGATTTCGTGTCAAGCTCCCGATCAGGAGAGGACAATTCTGTGTAGATACTTAGCCACAAATCTGTTGTGAAATCAAGTTACGACCATAGCGGTAACAATCTTAACTGGATTGACAGCTAGTTACTGAGTTTTATCTACTTAAGGTATAGGGCTATTATTGGCGAGGGAATTATTAACCACTGTGGCTTACGTTTTCGATGAGTGTTTACAATGTGGGTATTATTGCTTGTTAGCAAATCAAGCACGTAATAAAGAAACCATGCTAATGATCATTTATTCTAGTATTGATATTGAGTGTTGGATTCTCGAAAAGTGGCGAACCAAAAAGTAATCTAGTCGAATTCTAAGGTATTCAGAATAAGTAGAGATATTTAAAGGCTGAGCATTATTTTGCTCTTCATACTTCATATGGTAATAAGAGTGAGTGGTTGTTTGATTATCCTTAAAGCAAGGTATTTGTGATGACACCTTTTTTAAGCATTTTTTGTCTTCTCTAAACCTTAAAGAACTAAACAATAAATATACTAGGAAAAGAAAAATATCAAATAAATTTTCCTTATAGTTTTGCAAGCATTCAGATCAAGTATCATGGTTACTCTAAATATAACATGTATCATAAGATGTCTTCTTCAACTTTTATAAGAGATTAATGAAATTAAATTTTAAAAATCGTATATAGAGTTTTTGTGTGTCTTTGCACTACTGCTTGGAAAAATTATAATATTCAAATTTTGAAACTTACAAATTACAATATTTTAATTTTTACAATATTTGAAACATTTAATTTATATTTGCTTAAAATTAAATAATAAAATTTAGCTTTTTGAAATTTTTACTTTCAAAATCTATCAACATTTTGAAACATTTCAATTGCATTTTTTAAAACAAAATTCTAAAATTGTTAATCTTGAAATTTTTAATTTCACAATCTATCAAAATTTGGAACATTTCAATTGCATTTTTTAAAATGAAATACTAAAATTGATAATCTTGAAATTTTTAATTTCACAATCTATAATATTTTGAAATATTTCCATTACATTTTTAAAAATTAAATACTAAAAATTGTAATTTTGAAAATTTCAATCTCACAATCTATCAAAATTTGGAACATTTCAATTGTATTTTTAAAAATTAAATACTAAAATTTTTTATTCCACAAACTACAAAATTTTGAAACATTTCAATTACATTTTAAAAAATTAAATACTAAAATTTCTAATTTGAAAATTTTAATTTCACAGTATATCAAAATTTTGGAACATTTCAATTACATTTTTAAACATTAAATACTAAAATTTTTAATTTTGAAAATTTAATTTCACAATCAATAAAATTTTGAAACATTTCAATTGCATTTTTAAAAATTAAATAATAAAATTTCTAATTTTGAAAATTTTAATTTCATAGTCTATAAAAATTTTGGAACATTTCAATTACATTTTTTAAAAATTAAATAGCAAAATTTCTAGTTTTGAAAATTTTAATTTCACAATCTATAAAATTTTGAAACATTTCAATTTCATTTTTTAAAATGAAATACTAAAATTCCTAATTTTGAAAATTTTAATTTCAAAATCTTTTAAATTTTGAAACATTTCAATTATATTTTTAAAAATTAAATACTGAAATTTCTAATTTTGAAAATTTTAATTTCACAATCTTAAAATTTTTAAATATTTCATTTACATTTTTAAAAATTGAATGAAATAATTTTTTATTTTCAAATTTTTTAGTTCTAGATTTATAAAATTTTGGATTTTTTTTATATTTAAAAAAATAAAATTTTTAATTTTTAATTTTTTTAATTTTTAATTTTACAATACGTTAAATTTCAATTAGATTTTATTTACAAAACCTATCGCAATGTCAGACAAAGATTAATGTTTGATGTACTCAGTGGACCAACTGAGTGGACTAGCTTCTAAATCTGCAGTTGAAACTCAAATCAAAGAACTAGTTCGTATTAAAGATGTAGCGATGTGTACCCACAATGTCATGGAATGCTTAAACCAACCCATATCTTATATGAAAGTACTCTACATTGCTTAAAACATGCAGATTTCAAAATTTATTTCATAATTACTTCCATAATAATGTGTAATAATTAATTATTTTTTGAAAAATGTAAAAAAATATTATATTTATTTATAATTAACAATTATTTAATTATAAATTTCAGTGTTTTGAATTATAAATTTCAAAATCTCTAAAAGTAAATTATTTTAATATTATCCTTCTTCATTTTTGTTGTTTAAGATAAAATGAAAATAGTAAATTCAAAAATTAAAACAAAAAATGATAAAATGGAAAATTTGATAAAATTAAAATTTGATAAAATTAAAATGAAAATAGTAAATTCAAATGTTTTTTTATAAATTGATAATTTTTAGATTTGTTAATTATAATTATGAAATTAAAATTCAAAAAATTTATCATGCTTAAAATTTTGGAATTTTATGAATTATTAACATGTTGAAATTATTTTAAGAAAAAAATTTATGAAATTTTATTTTTTAAATCATAGAATATGTTCAAACATATTTACTAAATACTATCCAAAAAAATTTAAAAATTGCAAATTTTGATTCCATGTTATTTTTTATAGTTTTAAAAAAAATAATTTTTTATTAATGAATACTTATAATTAAATTATAATTTCAAATTTTTTCCTCTCTAAAAAAATTTTACACATTTAAATTATATTTTTTTAAATATAAATAATAACTTATTCACAAAATTGTAATATTTTAAGAAAATCAAAAATTTAATTATATGTGTTTGAAATGAACCAAAAAAGTATTATATATTTTTTTAATATATATTTATATTTCATACATTTTACGGTATTATTAAGCATAAAAAATTTATATCATTAAAAGATTTTGAATATTTTCAATAATAGATTTTCTTTTTAAAATATCAATTTTTTGAAATTTTGTTTTTTTAATGATGAAATATGTTTGAAAAAAAAAGTTATAACGAAAAATATTGAAAATAATTTAATAAAATGTGAAAAAATATTGTTTTGACATGTAAAAAAATTCAATAATTTTTAAATTGACATAAAATCAATAGTTCATTGTGTTACAAGAAACCAAAGCATATTGATTATAAATCAATATTTTTTATTTTTTATTATCAAATTTCATGAGCTTTTAGCAAAGTTTTGGATTTTCAAAATATGAGTTTAGAGAGTAACTTACTCCTAAAAAGGGAAAGATTTGCATATTGTGAAATGCAATTTTTAATATTTTGCCCTTGTCATAATGTTCACGAGCAAGAAAGAATCCCATGAATTTTTAGTACTACTGATAGTTTTAGATGTGATGGATAAACAAATACCAATAGATGACATCAAATTCTGCTAAATTTACAATGTATTAGATAGTAAATTATGTTATGTAAGACTTTTATAAGATTATTAATGCAAAACATAGAGTAAATCTAAGAAAAATCATTCTAGCATGTAGTTTAGAATAAATTTAGTTCTAAGCATTTTGTGTTAGAGTTATAAAACTTCATGAAGAACATTCATCTATAGGAAAGAAAATTCATTTTTAAGTTTATCTACAATAAAATAATATCTTCTTCCATTTTGTTACTCATTGATTTCTTTAGAATGGTTTTTTTTGTGTTATTGATTTACAGAGTGATTTGTATTATAAATCCTGAGCTAAGAAGTTAGATTTATTACAGTTTAAAAAATATTTTTTGGTTCAAACCAATCAAAGTGAATCAATCTGAACACAAAAATTGTAATACGAAATCAAAATGTAGAAAAAATATATTGGCCAGAAAATACAATTATTTAATACTAATTGCATGCCTGAAAAGGGTGTACAAACGGAGAAGTTCATACAACCTACTAGTAAAAAAAAAAATGTGTATCGCACCTCCTTGTTGAGCTACCGTCGCACATGAGATTTGTGTTGGGATCGAAAGAAGATAAAGTTTACTAAAGTGGCTAATCTGACTGGATGTGCATGCCCAAGTGATATTGTTGGAAAATGCATGTATCAGGTCAGTCAATGATCACACTGAAAGTGTAGGGTACACTTGATCATGCCTTCAGATAATTCTTAGTCTTGCATAATGGCATGACCAAGCCATTAAGCTTGATCAATCGGGTAAATTACGTGAGATTTTGCGCTAAAATAAGCATGTGCTGGTGCAGGCATTCAGTATAGTTTTCAGTGATTATCTACAGCTACTGGTAGATATAGAGGCAGTCTACCTACTATGCAATATCTACCATCTATCGTACACAAGCCAAGACAAATGAAGTGCAAGTGTACTGCGACATGTAATTGATGCCAATCATACCTTTCGCGGCCACAGTGGCCTTGGAGCTCCAAGGAGCTGTTCATGATAGTATATATACCCATACAAATCTACTCCTCGTATGGACAGTACATTCGTGTGGTTTGAAACTGTTTGAAAATTTAAATTAATACAATGTTTCAAAATTTAATAATATTTCAATTTTAAAAAATAAGCTTTTTTTTTAAAAATGATAAGTCAAAATATCTTAATGTTTCATTTTTAAAATATTCCGAAAATCTGTTTTTTATATTTAAAATATTTATAA